ACCGACACCATCTCGGCTTGTAACTCTTATCCTTCAGAGATTATCTTCGAGTATTTTGCTTCTCACATAAGGTTGTCGTCTCTGGCGATTATGTGTTTTCGTTGAGTCGTCGTGCATGATCCGTTGTGCTCATCTCTCTCCATCTCTACCATCATCTCCTTTGAATGATCCTCAAGAGCCTCAGTGATATTTTAGGGGCCCCAAATAGCCACCTACCAAATCCTCCTGCAGTGAAGAGACCAAACAAAATCAATGCTCCAAATGCCAGACAGGCCTCACCGTCAAAGACACAAAGGGCTCCTGTTTGCCAAATTGCCATTGAGATTCTGGGGTCTGCAGATATTTAACCGTCTGGCAAAAAAAAAAAAAAAAAAAAAAAAAAACGTCTGGCAAGTTGAAGCCTATTTGTGAGAAGGGTTCGATTAATATAAAACACACACACACACACACACACACGCACACACACACACACAAAAAAAAAAAAAAAAAAAAAAAAAAAAAAAAAAACAGTTGAATTGAAAGCTGTGTGTGAAAACAGGTAAATGAATGAATGCTGTTTGTGAAAACTGAAAGGATTTCACTCGTCTCAGGTGTTTTTGATGGGGCCGAGATTATTAAAAAAAACAAAAAAAAAGGTCCTGCCGGCGGCCAATTGGCTCCAATCTATTCGTCCAGGAGCTGCACGTGCTGAAATTTTTCTTCTGCCTTGTGAGGAAGAGAGTGTGTACGGTGTGCCTCTTGCGTGCAGACATCACCTGGGAGAGACTCAGTGGCTTGGCGCCTTCGTAACATAGTAATTCGGACTAATTCCCAGATAATTGCGTGCTTTCTTTCAAAGGTGAGCTGCAGCCTGCAGCCATCCCATTGACATCTATTAGTCTTATTTGCAGGTACTACACCCGGCCGTCGCTTTTTCGCCGACTGCGGTCAGGGTGGGGAGCAGGATGGCTGGGTTCGGTTGATGCTGCCAGGGGTGAGGGTGGCGAGGCCGAAGAATGAGGTGCAGTGGAGGATGGTGGGGCGGAGAGGGAGGAGGGGGGGCGGGGGGGGAGCCCATGGGTCAGGCTGCTGTGGGTATGAGTGCACCAGATTGACTGTTCTGTTGTTTTATAAGCGAGCATTTACCGAATACGTCATAATGATTGTGAGTGATTGCTGGTAAAAGGGCCTTTACCCAATTCAGACCCTGTTCGGCAAATGCAGCATAGAGGGGTCACCCGCCAGGGCCCAGCTCGTGAAAGCAGATCAAAGGACATGTTCTCTGGGTCAAGAGTCACATCCTAACTAAACAAAAGCCAATGTCAAAGGTCACAGTTGTGCCCCTGA